TACTCATCTAGACTTTCATTTCACCAGTCTAGAACACAGTAGCCTTCTTAACTTTTTGATTATGAAAAATACCTGCATAGTTAACATTACTTTTTTCCTCTGACTCCTGAACGCTGATGTCATTACTTGACTTCACTTTACAGATGCAACTCCTGAGAGAGAATGGTTTGTTAAACCCTGGTAGGGCAGCTTCCTTTTTCAGAATTTAGAAGGGACATGCTGATAACCCTTTGTATGTCGTGTTTTGTCGCTGGGGAGGGCATGATTTATGCTTTGAAAAGTAAACATAAGGAGTAAAACACACACACACACACACACACATACACACACATATAACAATCCTTCCTGACCAGACTTCGAACCTAGGTCACTCCGGGTATGTATTGCTTTGTTCCATCATTCATATATATACACATCTAACTTCGGTTTCGAATTTCTGAATCAATTTCCACCGAGTGCCCACGGGGAGTGTGTGTAAAACCTCGCAATCATTACTCATGTATGAGTAGATATGTAATGTCGTGTTTCAGGACTTTTTAAATATGCTGAATGTCGAGAAAGCCAAGCAGAAGTTGGCTGAGGTGTGCCCAGGTACCATACCCGACGAGGGCCTCACTCTCTAGCTGGCAGAGGCTGCTACGACGCCCAGGATCATCTGGACGCACCTGCCTCTCAAGCTGCTCCACCCGGATCTCCTTAACACCTGCAAAGTAAGTTCGTCTGGTAAAGCTCTAATTAAATATAAGCCATATGACAATTCTTCACCACGTATATCTGAGAAGGGAGTTACCATTCTGTAACACTACATCACATAACAGTGTTAAAACTTTTATTTATATCACAAGTGTTTTTTTTATTATTCTTCCTCAGGTTGTGTATGTAGCTCGAAACCCAAAGGATGTTTGTGCTTCCTATTATCACTTTGTCAAGAATTTGGAAAGCTGTTTTTTCTCTGGTACTTTTGAAAACCTATTGGATGGCTTCATGGCTGGCAATCTCTTCTACGGCCCTTACTAGGACCATATCCGGCGGGCGAGGCAGCAGAAGGACCACCCCAATTTCCACGTGATGTTTTATGAGGACATGAAGACCGACACGCGGGAGGAATTGAGGAAACTTAGCACGTTCTTGGGTATGCAGCTTGGCGACGACGTGTTGCTGAAGTAGGTCGGGGTTTTCACTACACTCTCTCTACTGTGGCTTATAAACTAATCCATGTATTTACTTGAGCATTCTTTACACCCATCCTTCGTCATCTTTTGAAAGAAGGATTTTTTTTTTTACCATAAAGTAACCAAAAAACAAACTTCCAAGTCTTAGTGACAAAACTCCATCTCGATTTCCAGAATATCCAACTACGCCCACTTGGACCGCATGAAGAACACTCCAGAGCTGAGAACAAACCCTCAAAACTTCGACAGCCTCCACTGCTGGCGCGGGCGGGTCGGGGACTGGGCCAGCATCGCGACGCCGGAAGCAGACGCCAAGATGGACCGCTTGATTCGAGAGAACTCCGAAGACTTGGACTTCACCTTCGGATACCAGTGAATGGCATATGGGTTTCTTAATCGTGTTACTGCAATGTATGGAAACAATAGGGGCTAATTATTTGTGTCTTCCCTGTGACAGCTAAAGTAAATTTAACCATACTGTTTTTTTTTAATCATGAATATCTGTAAGCTCCTCGCTTTATTTTTTTATCGGTAATTTGGCCATTGGATTCTTAAACGTGAAGAAGAATACGGATGGAATTGATTGGGTTTGCAGATCGAAATAAATTGAATGATGACATTTACTTTGTTTTCTATTGACCATACTTGAAATGATTTATGCTTTGAAAAATAAACATAAGGAGTAAAATACACAAACAAACACACACACACATATATAACAATCCTCCCTGACCAGACCTCGAACCTAGGTCACTCCGGGAATGTATTGAGTTGTTCCATCGTTCATATAATATATATACACATCTAACTTCGGTTTCGAATTTCTGAATCAATTTCCACCGAGTGCCCACGGGGAGTGTGTGTAAAACCTCGCAATCATTACTCATGTATGAGTAGATATGTAATGTCGTGTTTCAGGACTTTTTAAATATGCTGAATGTCGAGAAAGCCAAGCAGAAGTTGGCTGAGGTGTGCCCAGGTACCATACCCGACGAGGGCCTCACTCTCCTAGCTGGCAGAGGCTGCTACGACGCCCAGGATCATCTGGACGCACCTGCCTCTCAAGCTGCTCCACCCGGATCTCCTTAACACCTGCAAAGTAAGTTCGTCTGGTAAAGCTCTAGTTGAATATAAGCCATATGACAATTCTTCACCACGTATATCTGAGAAGGGAGTTACCATTCTGTAACACTACATCACATAACAGTGTTAAAACTTTTATTTATATCACAAGTGTTTTTTTTATTATTCTTCCTCAGGTTGTGTATGTAGCTCGAAACCCAAAGGATGTTTGTGCTTCCTATTATCACTTTGTCAAGAATTTGGAAAGCTGTTTTTTCTCTGGTACTTTTGAAAACCTATTGGATGGCTTCATGGCTGGCAATCTCTTCTACGGCCCTTACTAGGACCATATCCGGCGGGCGAGGCAGCAGAAGGACCACCCCAATTTCCACGTGATATTTTATGAGGACATGAAGACCGACACGCGGGAGGAATTGAGGAAACTTAGCACGTTCTTGGGTCTGCAGCTTGGCGACGACGTGTTGCTGAAGTAGGTCGGGGTTTTCACTACACTCTCTCTACTGTGGCTTATAAACTAATCCATGTATTTACTTGAGCATTCTTTACACCCATCCTTCGTCATCTTTTGAAAGAAGGAAATTTTTTTTTACCATAAAGTAACCAAAAAACAAACAAACTTCCAAGTCTTAGTGACAAAACTCCATCTCGATTTCCAGAAACAAACTTCCAAGTCTTAGTGACAAAACTCCATCTCGATTTCCAGAATATCCAACTACGCCCACTTGGACCGCATGAAGAACACTCCAGAGCTGAGAACAAACCCTCAAAACTTCGACAGCCTCCACTGCTGGCGCGGGCGGGTCGGGGACTGGGCCAGCATCGCGACGCCGGAAGCAGACGCCAAGATGGACCGCTTGATTCGAGAGAACTCCGAAGACTTGGACTTCACCTTCGGATACCAGTGAATGGCATATGGGTTTCTTAATCGTGTTACTGCAATGTATGGAAACAATAGGGGCTAATTATTTGTGTCTTCCCTGTGACAGCTAAAGTAAATTTAACCATACTGTTTTTTTTTAATCATGAATATCTGTAAGCTCCTCGCTTTATTTTTTTATCGGTAATTTGGCCATTGGATTCTTAAACGTGAAGAAGAATACGGATGGAATTGATTGGGTTTGCAGATCGAAATAAATTGAATGATGACATTTACTTTGTTTTCTATTGACCATACTTGAAATGATTTATGCTTTGAAAAATAAACATAAGGAGTAAAATACACAAACAAACACACACACACATATATAACAATCCTCCCTGACCAGACCTCGAACCTAGGTCACTCCGGGAATGTATTGAGTTGTTCCATCGTTCATATATATATATATATATATATATATATATATATATATATATATATACATATATATATATATACATCTAACTTCGGTTTCGAATTTCTAAATCAATTTCCACCGAGTGCCCACGGGGAGTGTGTGTAAAACCTCGCAATCATTACTCATGTATGAGTAGATAGGTAATGTCTATGGGCTAGTTAGAACCTAGTTGCCACGGCGCCCTTGCCGACCCGAGGGAACTTTAGGGGAACGCTCGATCAACGCCCTCCCCGCCTGTGCACAGCCCCTCCGCCCCTTCGACGCCCTCTCCGGGTCCCGTCCTGCCGGCCTTTCCCCTTCTGCCCTACATGCTCGCTCAGGGCCTGGTCCCCCCTCCCCACCCGGCCCTCCACGGCCTGCAGCACTTCCTCCCGCACTTCCCAGGCGCCCACCGTCCCTGTCCTGCCACTCCTGCTACAGGCCAGCGGACCCCGGTCGGCGCCCCTCGCCCCCCGGCCGAGGGATCCAGGGCCTACGTCACGTGCGAGGACTGCGGGAAGGAGATCCTGGAGACGAGCATCCACACGCACCGCCGGCGATACCACAAGCAGCTTCAGGAGCCGGTGCTGTGCTGCGGACAGTGGTTCCCCACGCGCTGGCACCTCAGCGCCCACCGCCGCTCCGCCCATACCCGCTCCGCCCAGTTGCATGTCGGAAGTCACCCCCGAGCTGCTTTCTTCAGATCTCCAGACATGCTTAGTGAAAAATGAATTATTATGATTTATTTATGTTTCATAATTCCTTGCCATTTTGCTATACTGATGATATAACTTCAAATAAATTCCTAAAAATGCACAAGAAACTGAGTTTATCCATATGCAGTCATTTGAAATGTATATATATATATATATATATATATATATATATATATATATATATATATATATATACATATATATATAAACCTCGCAATCATTACTCATGTATGAGTAGATAGGTAATGTCTATGGGCTAGTTAGAACCTAGTTGCCACGGCGCCCTTGCCGACCCGAGGGAACTTTAGGGGAACGCTCGATCAACGCCCTCCCCGCCTGTGCACAGCCCCTCCGCCCCTTCGACGCCCTCTCCGGGCCCCGTCCTGCCGGCCTTTCCCCTTCTGCCCTACATGCTCGCTCAGGGCCTGGTCCCCCCTCCCCACCCGCCCTCCACGGCCTGCAGCACCTCCTCCCGCACTTCCCAGGCGCCCACCGTCCCTGTCCTGCCACTCCTGCTGCAGGCCAGCGGACCCCGGTCGGCGCCCCTCGCCCCCCGGCCGAGGGATCCAGGGCCTACGTCACGTGCGAGGACTGCGGGAAGGAGATCCTGGAGACGAGCATCCACACGCACCGCCGGCGATACCACAAGCAGCTTCAGGAGCCGGTGCTGTGCTGCGGACAGTGGTTCCCCACGCGCTGGCACCTTAAATCATTTCCACCGAGTGCCCATCGGGGAGTGTGTGTAAAACCTCGTGCAATCATTACTCATGTATGAGTAGATAGGTAATGTCTATGGGCTAGTGAGAACCTAGTTGCCACGGCGCCCTTGCCGACCCGAAGGGAACTTTAGGGGAACGCTCGATCAACGCCCTCCCCGCCTGTGCACAGCCCCTCCGCCCCTTCGACGCCCTCTCCGGGCCCCGTCCTGCCGGCCTTTCCCCTTCTGCCCTACATGCTCGCTCAGGGCCTGGTCCCCCCTCCCCACCCGGCCCTCCACGGCCTGCAGCACCTCCTCCCGCACTTCCCAGGCGCCCACCGTCCCTGTCCTGCCACTCCTGCTGCAGGCCAGCGGACCCCGGTCGGCGCCCCTCGCCCCCCGGCCGAGGGATCCAGGGCCTACGTCACGTGCGAGGACTGCGGGAAGGAGATCCTGGAGACGAGCATCCACACGCACCGCCGGCGATACCACAAGCAGCTTCAGGAGCCGGTGCTGTGCTGCGGACAGTGGTTCCCCACGCGCTGGCACCTCAGCGCCCACCGCCGCTCCGCCCATACCCGCTCCGCCCAGTTGCATGTCGGAAGTCACCCCCGAGTTGCTTTCTTCAGATCTCCAGACATGCTTAGTGAAAAACAAATTATTATGATTTATTTATGTTTCATAATTCCTTGCCATTTTGCTATACTGATGATATAACTTCAAATAAATTCCTAAAAATGCACAAGAAACTGAGTTTATCCATATGCAGTCATTTGAAATGTATATATGTATATATATATATATATATATATATATATATATATATATATATATATATATATATATATATATATATATACCCGATTTTCCCCATCTTCAATATATATACATATCAAGCTTGATTTACTATCGACCTCCTGTCTGGCGAAATGCTTTTTATATATTCACACGAGATGGTCAGAGGTCCGGGGTTAGTTACCGCTACAAGTTAGAGTATGGGGTCTACATCAAAGAAAATGATATTTACGGGGGGACTATTTTGATTTAAGGGGAATTCGTTTTGAACAGTATTTTTTATCCAAAAGGGGAAGGGACGAAAGGAGAGTATAAAATATGCATAGAATGATATAATGGTGATAACAAAATAATATAATAATATAATGGTGATAGGAAATTCAGTGAGGCAAAAACAAGCAAGTTCTAAGCAAGCAAGCAAGCAAAAAAGAATAAGAAAAATCAAGCAAGCAAGCAAGCATGAGCAAAGCAATAGTAGAACAGGTTCAAAACAAGAACAAGAACAAAACAGGAACAAGAATAAAAACAAACAGAACAGTTACAAGAGCGAACGAAAAAAACTGAATAAATTATCATAAATTATCCATTCGAGGGAAACAGTGTAAACAGGGTACGGATAGGGTACGAAGGCATGGGTGAGCATGGTACATGACACAACATAATAATAAAACAATAAATTAGGGTTTTTTTCTTTTCTTTTTTAGGAGTATCATTTTTTTCTCCCTTTTTCCGTAGAACATCTCCATCTTGCTCGTCCTCTGACTCGCGTGTCTGCCTTATGCAATTGCACGTGTGCACTTCCATAATCACAGGCAATCGAGTCAGAGTCCGTAGTAAGTTTGTTAGATGTTCAGTCCTTGAAATCTCTCCGTTTACAGTTCGGCAGCGCTGATCCCACGACCACTAAGCGGGCCGAGGCGGGCAATCCTTTGGGAATTCTGAGGGTGACTTCTGGTTTTATTTATATTTAATTTTTATTTTATTTTTATAGCCTAAAACATAGAAATATGGCGGGATGGTTATAGCTCGAGTGTTATATGTGTGCGTACATGGGAGGAATTATGTTTTGTAAGAGTGTTAATGTTCTAGGCCACCAATTGTGGTTTGTGCGTGTGTTTGTGTGTTTGTCTATAATGTTATTGTAGTGCTCGTCTTCTTGTTCGCGTAGTCGGGCCCAGGTGTTTTTAGCTCGTCTGTATATGCGTGTGTTAAGAGGTTCTATGCTGTATGTTTTGTGTAGTGTTTCTAAAGGAATTAGGTCTAGAATTGTTGCGCCGTTTATCCAGAGTAGTGCTTTGCTCTGTACTGATTGCATTTTGAGTTTTTGTGATTTAGATATTGCAACCAGTGGGACAGGTGTGTATTCAAGAATAGGTCTTACAGTTGTTTTGTAGAGTCTGAGCTTTGTTTGTGGTGTGCAGCATGAGAAGCGTCTGAGTTTGGTGAGTGTTGTGCGTGCTTGTGCGATTCGTTGTGTGACGTGTGTTATGAAGCCTGTAGTTGTGAATTGGAAACCATGCATGTTTCCTCTGTTTGTGTATGGGATGTTGTTGTTGTTGGTTGTGATGGGTTGTGCGGTTTTGCGTGCTATGTGCATGAGTTTGAACTTGTTTATGTTTGTTTGTATTTTCCATTGGTGCTCAAAGGTGTTGATGTTCTGTATAGTTCTTTCTGTTGTTCGTTTCATGAGGTGTGATTTAAAGGGGTGTGAGATTATCTGTGTGATATCGTCTGCATAAGAAATATAGTTGCTGTAGGGTGTAGGTTGTGGCTGATTGGCTGTATACAGGATATACACGGTTGGTGAAAGAAGACATCCCTGTGGTACTCCACTTCTGAGGTGGAGGGGGGCGCCCAGGTGTGAGCCCAGGCGTATTGTGGCAGTCCTGTGGTCCAGGAAGCTGCAGAGGAGGCGTGTGAGATGTGTAGGGAGTTGTAGTTGTGTTAATTTGTATTTGAGGCCGTCGTGCCTGACCTTATCAAAGGCCTTGCTGACGTCTCTTAGTATAATGTTAATCTGGTGCTTATTAGCGAGACCGAGAGCAATCTCGTAAGCGAGGGCGATAGCGCTCTCGGTCCCCCTGTGTGGGCGAAAGTCGTATTGCCTACTGTTGTGTTTGTTGTTGTTTTCCAGGTGTGTGATAAGTCTGCGTGTTATTAGCCTCTCTAGCAGTTTCCCAGGAACTTCCAGCAATGAGATGGGGCGGTAATTCTCCACCTCATGTGCTGACTTCCCCAACTTCGGAATGAGGGTGATGGTGGAGTGTTTAAACTTGTCGGGGAAATATCCTGTAGCCAATGCCGCATTAAAGAGATGGCGTAACCTGCGGATCATTATGGGTGGTAGATGTTCTATGATTGTTTTGTTTATGTTGCTTACTCATGGTGTTGTGTTTTTGGTGTGTTTGATGGTGTTAACTATTTCTTCTGGTGTGATAGGTGTGGAGAGGGGACTGTCCTCTGTGAGATTGTTTAGTCTAATGATGTTTTCTGGGAGAATTGTGTTTCTATGGTGTAGGTAGTGTGTTACCTCGGTCTCTGTAGTGTGGTCGAATTGGGCGCTCTCGGTAGGGGAGATCTGGAAATTCTGTAGCCAGAATTCCCTCCAAAACTTCTTGGGGTCTTTGGTGTTTTGACATAGTCTCTGTGCTAGTGCTTTCCAGTGTTGTTTATTCATTACTTTAATTTCGTGTGTTATTTGCGTTTGGAGTTGTCTATATTGTGTACGTAGTTGTGCATTCTAGCCCCGTGTTATTGAGAGGTCGTGTAAGTGCCTGTATTGTATTTTTAGCAATTTCAGACGATGTGTTTCTCTGTTGTGAGGGATTGTTTTGTATGTTGTTCTGGGGATGTTAGCCTGCCAAACCGTCTGTATGTCTGTGTACCACTGTTCAAGGTGGGTGTCTATTGTGTGTGTGTGGGTTGCCCCTCGAGATCAGTTACTTGTGTGTTTTCGAGTGCTTGTTTGAAACCCTCCCAGTTTGCATGTTTGAGAGATTCTCGGGGTTGTGTTGGTACCATGATGGGGTTTGTTGAAAGTGTTAGAATGACCGGGAGGTGGTCGCTGGATGTGATTTCGTCTGCTGTTATATGGTGGTGTAGGTGTGCTATGTTATTTGCAAGGACCTTGTCTGGTATTGTTGCTGTGTTGTGGGTAATATATGTTGGTGTATATGGACCGAGGTGTGTCAGTCTGCCTTGTTGTATGTAGGAGGCGAGGCCTCTGCCTATGTTGTTGGTGTGATTATAGCCAAATAGTGGGTGGTTTGCGTTAAAGTCTCCCAGGATGTATATTGGCTTGCTATGTCTCAGGAGCTGCAGGATGTCGGGTTCTGGTATGTATGGTCTACATGGGGGTAGGTATAGTGTTGCCAGTATGATGGGTCCTTGTGGTGTGTTTATTTCGACTGCCAAGAGGTCTGAGTGGAAGTTGTTGATAATTTTGTGTTGGATGTTATTTTTGATTGCTATAGCTACACCATCGCTTTGTTCTTGTGACTTGTAGGAAGAATAGACTGTGTATGTGTAGATCTTTAATGGATTTGCGTTATTGAGCCCATGGCTGTTTAGGAGGATGATATGTGGGTCATGTTTTCGGTAGGTGTTACAGAGTTCGTGTTTTCGTGTTTTCCAGTGTAAGACGTTGTGTTGTATGATGGTGAGTCGTGAGTGTACTGTGGTGAGTGCCATGTTGTGTTGTTTGTTTTTATGTTGAGTCTTCTATGAGGTGTCCGTTGGGTATTTTGCGAATGTTGTCGTAGTGTTCAATTATAGTGTTGTCTATGAGTATGTTACCTTCTAAGAGGTGTTCATGTATTTTTTGATGATGCTCTGCTTTGGTCATGAGCCACTTGATTAGGTTCTTTTGTATTTCTTGCCCAATTTCCTCTCTTCCGGAGTATGCATATTTTTGGGGGTTTCCCGCGAACAGTCGTATGCCGTAAACGAGGGGTCAACTACTGTGCCGTCCATGAGGCGGCCCCAACCTTCCTCATCCCTGTGACAGCTATTAGATGTTTTTTATGACCGGGGATGGTAGTGGTGGGTCAGGGGACGGGCCTCCATAGGGGGGTATTGCGGTGGTTTCTTCTGCCGTTGCTACTTCGGTCTGACCGAGATGTCAGGTTTGGGAGCTGTCACAGGGGTAGTTGGGAGATCTGGAGGTATCTTCATGAGTTGTTTCTCCTGGGCAACATCTTGTGATGCCTCCCCAGTGACTGG